CTGCAGAGTCCTGACCTGATGATGTTGTTCGTCTGTGTTGGGACATTCTTTTGAACAGTGGCTGTTTTGTTTCCCCGATGTATAACTGATCACAGTCCTCCAGACACTTAACAGCATATACAATATTGCTCTGTTTTTTGCCGGGGAACTGGATCTTTGGAGTGAACTAATCTTTGTCGCAAACGTGTTTTGGGGTTTGAAAGCCACTGGGACMTCATGTTTAGAGAATAAACGTCTCAGTTTCTCTGAAACTCCCACCGATGGCCCTCTTTTGCATATGATTAACCTGTTTGTCCACGTGGAGGCAGTGCTCATAAGGCTGAGTTCACCTGAAACTCATCAGACTGAAGAAGTCTTTTGGACGAGAGACGAAACGTTTCATTAATGAAGAACCCGTCCAGAGGACCTACTTATTTTTTCTTTTTGATTTTTTTCTACATGGATTACTGAGATGCATCAGGACAAAAAAAACATGGAATTCAAATCACAATTTGTTTTTCAACCATTTTTAGACAGGGAAAACTGAAGATTAGTGTAGAAGAGGCCAAAAATCTTCTTAACAAATTCTAAATGCTAATCACAAATTCAAAGTGGAAACCACAGCTAATTTTAAAAAGCTATAATTCAGATATTTTAAAACGTATAAAGGTGAAATTTGTTGRAGAGTAGCAAGACTGATCACATGTTGACTGTCAATYRTAATCTCAAYTTAAYCTAACCACTAATGCTAATTTTACAAAGGGCTATAACTCAGCCATTTTTAAACATACGTAGCTCAAAAAAAGATGCAGTACAGTAGTACGAGAGAACAATTCTTAACAAAATCTAAATACAAAATTCAAGCTCTCCCCAGCCACCCCTCTGTCTCCACCCCTGAAGAGCGAGACATTTACTTACTCATCGATACACTCATACACATCGTCATCATCCTGCAAGGAAAAAATATATTTGTTTTATAAAGCAAACTATTAGATTTTATAATATTATATCAGTGTAATCATCAAAAGCCTAACATATTGTGTATGTCTGAGTTTTACCTCTTCCAAACACGGGGAGTTGTTGCCACTGCAGGACTCTGTCAAGTTAGAAAATGAAGTATGTTGCATAAAAAACTTATTTTAAAAAAGTATTTATAATGAGTTGTTTTATCTTACCATTTTTTTCAAAGCTTCCAACGTCATCGTAAGGGTCCTGCTCATCCGCAAAGTCTCTGAAATCAGTAAAACATTTTGTAAATATTACATCATGTCTGTAATAAATAAAGGCATCTTGYTGAAATGGTAAAGGCTTTACATATCTTTTCCATACACTGTTGAAAGTAAAGTGTATTATACATTAAATACACATCCTATCAGAGGTGAAACACCTGAGGCTGGTTGTGAATAGTGAGACACTCACACGGAGGCCATCTGTCGCGGCAGTCTGGTTGGTTTACTCGATCGCAGAGGAGGCTGTGGAGGGTTTATAACTGATGGCGAAGACATTCTCCTGTTTGCTGAACCTGGAGAACACATTTAGAAAACCAGCAGGAAAATCCTAAATCATCAAAATATTTCAAAATTTTATTAAAAATCATTTTTGGAGGGAACACAAATGCTTTTTTTTTCTTCCTGTTTGGACTAAAATAATTTCACAGTGAAAAAATGATGTTGATGTTTTGGTTAAACCATCACTTTTATCATCTAGCATCATTCAGAATTCAGAATCATCTATTGTCATTCACACACAACATCAAGATGCAGTGCAGAACGAAAATTTTGCACTTTAGAACATCCGTCCGGAGAAACACACACACATGACAAACATGGGGGAGTGAATGTCCAGGGTCTTTCGTAATGTAGTGCGCTGCCTTTGCAGTTTAGAACACACACATAGGAAGGCTGAGTTTAAAAAAAGAGCTTTGATCCAGTGTTTTTATACAGAAAACACACAAACATACGCTCAAAATAACTACTCTGCGAAAGTGCAGCCAGCTAAGGAGGGGTCGGGGTTCAAAAACATATGGTAAGAGGAGGGGTGCAGCAGAGCCGGTGAGATCCAGGGCAGACTTTGTGCCGGAACCGATCAGAAGACCTACAGASTCCAACCAGTTGTTAACAGTCAAGCACAGGTCACCAGAGTTCAGTTCTCTGTCTCCACCCGACGCGGCCTTCAGACCGGTCCAGACACAGATGGAYCGGGTTGGGGTGGGAGGGGGATCAAGGCTTTCCTTCTCACGTGTCATTCCAGGGAGGTTTTATCAGCCTGCGACCAAGGTCACAGCTGTGGGAATCCAATGATAAAACATAATTCTCATCTCATCATCAACCATCTCTTGCTGCTTGGAGAATGWGTCGTGAAGCTTCTGCAGATTTTAGCTCAACGTTTGTCAGATTCACTGAATTCTCATTATTTTTGTGTTTGCTAATGTTGCTTTCCTGTGGCGACTTTTTTGAGCAGAACTGACTCCAGAAATTACTGTTATTTATTATTACGGTCGGTAAATCCAACTCTTGCTTTCTGAGAATTTTCATTAACATTACGTTCATGAGATGTTTTTGATCGCTCASTTCTTACCTTCACTTTTCTTTAAATCCGAAACAGCAGATCCACGCCTGAACTTCATAAAAGGCTCCAGGTTGACGTGAGGCGGTCGTTTTGGTTTCAGGGGCAGGGGTCCCTCAGGAGGCAGGGGCCTCCTAAGAGGGCTCACATCTTTGGAGCTCCTTTGGCGGGAGTGCTGTCGCAGAGGGTGAGGTGTGGTGATGGGGGACGATGCGTGAGGTGAAGCTGGACTCCGAGCCMGCGCCACAGTGGTGCCTGGAAGCCTCTGGTGCTTCAGCATCATGTTCTGGAGCAGCTCCCCCGTCTGCTTGACCTTCCTGGCGTCCCCCGGCGAAACGGAAGACTTGACTGCAGAACCTGGAGGAAGTCGAGGGAAAGCAGCAGGTGTAGATGGGATGGAGGTCGCTGGCTCTGCCCTGGGGAACCTCATCAGTCCTGGACTTGTTGACGCTGGAGGAGGAGGTCCAGGCGTCAGTCTGTCGGTGGAATTGTTCTCCATCAGAGGGAGGATGGTTCTCTGTAAGCCCGGCCGTGGAAACTTTGGAGAGTGGCTGCCCCGGCTGCTGGTGTCTGAGGTTCTGGCCCGGCTGTTGAACTTGTCCCTCAGAGCCTTCACGTCAACGCTCTCCTCCTGAAAACAACACAGGAGCTCAGGTTCAGCTGCCGCTGCTCTGGGTCTGAAGCAGGAAGTTAGCAGAGCAGCACAGAGCAGGGCATGCACCCCACGCTGAAACGTTCTGCCCCCGTCAAACTCCTACGCTCTTTACAAAGTGAGAACGCACKGTGCAACATCTCAGCTTCCTGGTTCTGACTTCCACAGAGCAGATCAGTCTGCAGGGTGTCAAAACTCCTCAGTAAGCAGCAGGATGGGATTACAAATCTCTAAAGAGCTGAAAACGAACTTGATCTAATTTTTTTTATGAAAGCATGAACAAYTATCCTCTACATGTTCTGGTTTATGTTTCTGTGTAATCTTAAATTTTATGCATAAATTAAAAAAATAAAACTTATGACCTCAACTCCCCTGAAAAACGACACCATCAGTCCTCCATACTGTCACTTTCAGTTCAGGTTCATATAAATCATGTTAATAATAATTCAAACTGTGGAAAACTTAAGGCTGAGAGAACGTTTATTTAAAAATAATGTTTTTGATCCCATTCCAGTTTTCTGGAAACTCAAAGCCAACATCTTYTAAGAGTCACCCTGAGGACGCTTCAATTTGTGGGCTTCAGCTTTTAAAATTGTTTTCAGAAGTAGGTTTTTAATTTAGTTTAGAAGATTTACATTTTAATTTATTAGTCATGGAACTAAACACTAACAAAAAAGATTAAAAACAGCAACTTTGTATTTCATTTAAAAAGTAAGTAAGCACAAAAAGAATCAATAAACTGAGTTAATGTATCATCTGTAATCTGTGATCATTCTGTAAACTCCTGTTTGTGTAGCCCAGCTCCACCAACTGCTCTGAACTATTTTATGAAAGAGCTACACGATATATCGGCATTAACATCGGTATCGGCCGATGTTGGTAATTCTTTAGAATATCGTATCCGTCTGATAAGAAAAACTGATCTGATATTAACGTCTGATATTGATTTCCCACCTGTTGCCATTTGTGGTTATGCTTTGGGAGGGGAAAGGGTTGGTCGAACGGTATCTTTTTAATCATGATATTGATATTGACGCTGCACAGCCAGGAATAACTGCCATGTCAGCGCTTTGGTCATTTTTTTACAGTATCAAAAAATGACCCAAGTGTGTTTGTGTAATATCAGTAAGTATCAGCCATAACAMCAATATTAATACAACTTAATGTGAGACAACAGTTGTTGTGACTTGGCGCTATATAAATAAACTGAATTGAATTGAGTTAATATCATATATTGATATCGGCTGAGATTTTCATCRCTAGTATTTTATTTAAGGCAGGCAGACAGAGAGCCTAATGACCCTCAGGAGGGAGGGACCTGAGATTAATCTTCATGCGAATTTTGCCGCACGAACAGATTATCTGATGCAGTTTAAAGTTTCAAACACTCTCCAGTTCTGAGTGGAAAAAAAAAACCCAGACGAGAAGCAAAATGTTCAACAGACGACYTTCAGCTGCTTTGTGCAGACACAAAGTGACTCAGCTGAGATTATCTTAAAMCTCTAACAGATCACTTTTACACATTTTTCTTTTTTATATATWATTTACATGTAGATTTTTAAAAAGTTATTTTTTAAAGGTCACATAACCTAAAAGAACATCATTATAGGAGAGATTATTTGTCCTTGTCGTCCAATAATGCTTGGTGTTTTTGTCTTATTTGTTACTCATCTTTGAGTGATAGAGTCGTCTGCTTTCTGTTTCTGATCACAAATATCTCTTTGTTCTTAATGAAGTGGTTGTTCAAAGGTTGTTTTTTTATTTTTATTTTTTTGCTTAGGTTTTCTTCCTTTCATTTTGCACTGAACTTGAACCTGAAATTTGTCTGTCTCAATAAATGAGATTATTCTAATATATTTTCTGTCATTTACATGACTTTTTTTAATTAAAAAAA